CAGAAGAGCTTTTCAAAGGCTCCATAAAATAAAGTGTGACTCATCTGAGCCACCCAACCAAAACAAAACCCTGTATTTGGTTTATGAGTCTTTCCCTCAAAGAAAACTTCAGTTTTCCTGCACTTGCTAGCTACATGATGACTTAGCATGACTACTTCTCTGAACAGCAAATRAATTCTACATGTTTAATTTTATTTACTGATAACTGATTTTTCATTGGAGGATGGCAGTAGTAACCTTTGATGTGTAAAAAGAAATGTTTAATGTGTATGAAAAAAAGAAAGAGAGAGAGAAAGATGGGCAAGAGGCAAATATGGAGACAGTCTAACAACAAAACAAAAATGGGTTCTTCCTGTGCCCAAAGAAATGGCGCATCAGCTGCTTSTGAGGGAGAAGTCATTAAATCCCGTGCTGTCCCGAGGAGAGACATTTACACTTAGCTCTTACAAGACCCACACGAGAGAAGCAGCAGTTGTCTCTGGTTTCCTCCTCTTCCAGGCGTCTCCTTGGCTTCCCAAGGGGAGCAGAGAGCCGGGCCAGCGCGGGCCACACGCACCCRCAGAGGGGTCGTTTCAGGCTCTCCGTCTCCCATCAAGCATCCCACCATCAGCTCTTTGCCGTGGGAACGCGATCCCTGCACACATTCATACAAGGGCTGATGCAAGAGGACCTCAGAGGTGCTGCCAGAAAACAAATCGCTTCTGTTTTCACAAAGCATCCCTAGAAAGGCGAGATGGAAACTCGCAGGGCTACGAGGATGATCAGGGGCCTGGAACATCTGCCCTATGAGCAAAGGCTGAGGTCCCTTCCAACCTTAAGCATTCTATGATTCTATGATGAAATAAGTTGTCCAGCTGCACCCTCTACTGGGCTGCGTGCTCCGGGAGCTCCTCTGCAACGAGGAGCAGGGAAAAGGCAGAAGGCTTCCTCATGCASGGAGCCCTCATCCGCAGCAAACGCTGCTCCTCACCTACACAACCTTGGGCTTTTCAGCAGCACCAAAGCCCCAMAAGCAGCAGCACCTGCACCCAGCATGCAGGAAAGCTGCGCTGAAACCCTGGGCCATGTTACACAGAGCAGTTCAGTGTCTGTCTTCAGTGTCAGTGTCTTGCCATGGAAGGTATTTTACTGAGAAACATCACGTTGAGACTGATCTCACCAGAACATGGCACTTTCAGACAAATACATTTTGCCCAAGAATGATTCATCTACTTTTGTGGTTTAATTTGTGTTTGAAGTAAAAGTCTCAGTTCTCTAAGGAATGGTAAGCATTAAAGCAAATAACTGTATAAAAACAGTGTCTTCGTAAACCCAAAGTAAGTATAATGCAGCCCTTGCATTTGGCCTTTAATCTTCTTCATTTGTATCTATTAGTTTTATGTCATTCTTCAGAAATTGTGGTAAATCACAGTGTATTACAAGCAACTATATATAGCTGGTTTATTACACAAGAAAGATGTAACAGTTTGAACTGAGGAGGCTTTAATTTCCAGGCAAAAAAAAAGCACGAAAATATCCACGTTGAGAAAAGGTGTGAGTGCCGCACATCGAAGCCCAAGTGCACAGAGAGGGGCCGAGGTTCCTCCCAGCCCRTGCAGAAGGGAGGCATCCCCTCTTCTTCAATGGAAGAATCCATTGAGAAGAATCAGCCAAAAGGAGGCCAGTTTGCTTTCTGTCCATCGTTATCTTACAGAAATGAGAGATTTGAGGTTTCACCCCAAAGATGAAAAGTGATAAAAGGAACAGCATCTGCAAGGTCTGGCTGCAAGTGGGTTTTCACCCAAATTGCTTTTCTGTCTCAGACAGAAAGCTTGTGCCCTAAAAGGATTTGTTTTTTCATTAGTACAAAACCAAGGGCAACTCCAAGGGAAAAAATTATCATGCAAGGAGTGATTCATGCTCACCCCAGACTGACTTTGCACCATTTAAGATACACATCGAAATTCAGGTGCCTCAGGAGAAGACCATCGTTCTTGTTAAGCTAGAYCCTATAATACTCTGCAACAGCAAACACATTTCATTTTGAAATTAACTCCTTGCGCTGTGCAGTATTGGGCCACTCCAAGCCAGGCTCGAGCAGCRTTTCTGAAGCTCTGGTCGCGAAGGTGCAGCTCCCGCGCAGCCGCTTCACGCACACCGAGAGCCACGGGAAGAGCCGCTACCGGCTGCTGCAGCGAAGGCGTCGCCAGAGCGCCCGCGCCGGGGCAGGCTCTGCAGCGGGAAGCGGCTGCTCCGGCGGGAGYGGGAGCTGCAGCCGGGCGCCTGCCGACCGGCGCATCCCGCGCTTCTCCCATCCCGGCCCTCCCGCACCCAAATTTTGTGTTTAAAGCACCCAAAGCCTCTGAGCAGGAAGTTCCACGTGGCCTTTAAAAGAYGGAAAAAGGCTAGAGAGACGTCAGCGCCGCAGGACTCGGCTGGCGCACGAGGAGCTGTGGGCATTTGCTTGCCTTGAGATTTTTGACTGACTTGGAGCAATTTATGAATCCCGCTGTAATCACATCTGATTAAAGGTACTTGGACCAACAAGCAACACAGAGTTTGACCAAGACACTGAAGTAGAAAAATCAATATTGAAGTGTGACATTCAGACATTAGTAGATCAAGATAACGCCTCCTCTACAAAGGAGCATTTCATATTTTTCTAAATGACCCCTTGCTGTGCTTACCACAGGCAGGACTTGCAAGACACTTGTTTAATATATTTTAATTAAATCCAAAATAAAACTAGAGTGCTCTCAAAAGAAATACCGAGTACACGTGAATGCCCTTTAAATTAAGTGGTCCTAGAAGCTCCACTGACAAAGCTATTGCCCCTAATATACTCTAGCACATGAAGCAGCCCTGTGTTATTTGAGCAGCCTCTCCTGCTCACTTCTCTCCCTCCCCAGAATGGGATTCACGACGAAATCCATTGCAGCAGTATTAATGATAGGACGGGTCCTTTGGCAGGCTGCAGCCACAGCCCTGCCGTGTCCAYTGCGGGGTCACAGATTCCCGGAGCTGCATCCGAGCATCCCGCCGGCCTCACCGGACCCACCGGGCCTGGCTCAGTGCAGCATGAACCCTGCCAGCTGCTCCCCTTAATCTCCAGATTAATGATCTCCAGAGCACCTCGGCCGGGTTTAAGCATCCAAAAGCTCTTAATCTGGCACTCTCCTCCCTGGGTATATTACACCCAGAGACTTTTGTAAGGAAGCAGCAGCTTTTTTTGCCTCCAATTAAAACCTTTCGGAGTCAGCCCAGACAATGGTTCATTTACAAGTGAATCCTGCTCCCTTCCTGGCTGCACGGTGTTACCAGCTCCTCTTTTCCACAGGGGCCCAAGCAATTTATAGAAGGGATTAGATATGAGCAGATTCTTGAGAGACCCCAGATTTTGTGCATGGTTTTCTTACGAACATCCACAGGGATTATTTATTCCAAAAGTATGAGAAACGTCAGCAGGAGAACTGGAAATTGCTAGTCAGATGTCCATGCACCACCATCTGTTACCGGGACCRTATGTGATGCAGCGTGAAGGCACAACAAAAGAATTAAGGGTGTTGTGACAGCAGGAATCCGAAATTATTATTATAACTTGTTGTTTTTCCTCAATACTTGACAGCTGCCAGAGAAGTCATAAACTGAAATCTGAATCTTCTATCTGCTCRCTATCTGAATTTGAGCCGCAGAGCAGCTAACTCAGATTAGCACTGAAGGAAGTCCCAACTAAGRGACAAAGCCAGGACATCTGGTATTTTTTATTGCTGAGACTGAAACAGGATGATGAAGTTGATGAGTTGAAAGACCCTTTACATTTACTGACAGAAAGGGTGAGACTTAAAATTGGCTTTTTTTAAATCTTCAAATTTTACAGAAGTTCTCTTGTGTTAATTTTCTCCTCCTTTCTCTGTGTATATATAAACACTTATAAAAATAGTAGACACTCGTGGGTATTAAGAAGATGATTTATGATGGTATTTAGGTAAGGCATGGAAAGCACAATGGCAGTTTAAGCACAAAACCTGAGCACAGCTGAACACTAGCCCGGTTCAGAGGGTCCGGGTTAGGGCTGACCACTCATCAGTAGCAGCAGAGCGGCTCAGGCTCAGCCTACCCGACGTGACTGGAGGGGATACTTAAATTTCACAAGATTCAGCTCCATTTTGGTAAAACAGCCCTTTTGGAACACGCCTCAGCAGGCACGGAGCCCGGGACTCRCCTGGGTGCCAAAGGCTCCTCTCGAGCTGCTTTTCCTGCCACCACCAAGGGCCACTCCAGCAGCTGCAACGGTGCCATCAGCAGCTCACAAACGGGGGCCTGTGGTGCCCACTAAGGTGGGTTATTTATCTCTTCCAGTTACTTTTGAAAGCTTCAAATATATTTTAATTTCCCAAGGACAAAAACAATTTGCTCAATAGATGGATTTTTTTAAGCTGGTCAGTTTTAATCCTTGTCTTAGGCAAACTTTCATGTAATGCATGGCCAAGTCTGAAGTAGGATGTAATACTGATTCAGTGACAAACACTGCTGAATCTTTTCATGTGGTCAGAAGAGGCCTACTGTTCTGGTTTGCCTTGCAATAAGCTCTATAAATCAAGCCCTAGAGTCTTTATCAAAACCACGCCTTTCCAGCGGCTACCCGGAGGGACTGCCATAGGAATTTTGACCATGCAGGGATCGCAGAATCCTTGGTTAAAATATCAGCAGGATGGTGAATTTCCCTATGTAATTTGAACAGGTTGGTTACAAACCTTAAGTTTGTGATGTGAAATCCCTTGAGGCTCATTTGCACAGTAGTTTGTTATCTTAGAGATCATCCATCTACCCAGAAGGACTGTTAGTTAAAATCAGGGCTGCTAATTAAAATCAATTTCCCACAAACAGAGCATTTCTGTTAAAAGACCAGGAAACCTCGCCACTAAGCAGACACAGCACAGTCACTAAGCGACACTTCACTTCTCTCTACTCAACAGCAGAGGGAACGACGGGTCCCTTCGTAGCAGGTTGCCCCTTCAAACCTACAGCAGCATCTCGGGGCCGTCATCAGGGTACAGGAGGAAGCCCGTGAAGACGCTGTCGTCCTCGGCGCTGGCGTAGAGCCCGTTCCAGTCCCGCGCCACCTCCAGCCACACCTGGTCGCCCGCGCGCAGCCTCAGCACCGTCAGCAGGGAGGCCTGGTCGATCTCCTGCCCGTGGAGGGTCTCGCGGGCCCTGGCGACGCGGCGGCTCCGGGCCACGAGGCTCACGCGGGCCGGCCGCCCCCGCACCGTGAGGTGGTAGGCGAAGACGTAGGCGCCGGGCACGCTGCAGTTGAACTTGCCCGTGCCGGGGTTGTAATCCTGCTGCTCGTTGTACAGGACCTTGTCGAACCGGACGGGGGCGTTGGGCGGAGGGAAGGGCTTGGAGAGGGCGGCGCTGAAGGCCGAGCGYGGCAGCTTCGCGCGGTCGCCCCGCGTCCCTTTCGCCCCCCGCGAGCCCTTCCTGCCAGGAGCCCCCCGGCCCCCCCGGCTGCCAGCGTTGCCTTTGGGCCCCGAGGGTCCCATCACGCCAGCAGGCCCCAGGTCCCCCTTTTCCCCCTTACTTCCCTGCTCGCCCTTTTCTCCYTGTTTTCCGTCCATCCCTTGGGTACCCTCCACCCCTGTCTCTCCTTTGCTGCCTTTCTCTCCCTTCGCGCCCCCGTCCCCCCTCTCGCCCTTCTCCCCTCTCCCTCCTGGCTCCCCACAATACCCCTTCTCCCCGATGTCGCCCTTCTCCCCCTTGTTCCCATGGTCTCCATCCAGCCCCGGCACGCCRGGATCCCCCTGATCTCCCTTGGCTCCTTTGGTGCCGTTCTCACAAGCRTCCCCTTTGCTGCCCTTTTGGCCCTTCAGTCCCGGGAGGCCGTAGCCGCCCTTATTGCCTTTGGCTCCAGCTTCCCCTAGGGAAAAATGAACAGAAAAGGCACTTTGGCAGGGAGGGTAAAACAAATGCCAAAAAACAAGCGGAGATGAAAACCCTCAGGGCAGAGGGCACTGCTGGTACTGGAGGGCATCACCAGCACCAAACACCTGCACAGGGGGCAGCATCCCTGGCTTTTCCAGCATCCCGTGGTACCTACCCTGTACTCCAGGTTTGCCTGGATAACCTGGCGTGCCGTTGGCTCCGCGCTCGCCTTGGTCCCCTTTACCACCTAGGACACATTAGCATTAACGTGCTATTAGTGACATTATGTGTAGCTCAGCAGTCATTATGCACACGGTGACTGTGACTACCTCTTTCTCCTTTACCACCTTTCGGACCCTGAGGTCCTGGCGTTCCTGGCAGACCTCGCAGACCAGCATCGCCCTTCTCTCCTTTGGGACCTGTGATCACATTAACAAAATCATCTCAGCAACTCGGAGGATTAACTTTATAAAGAAAATTCTTAGAAATAACTAAGTTAAGTGGCATCGAGCCGCCTGCCAGGCAGACTGCGCTCCTGTTTCCCTGGAAAGCGYCGCCTATTTCAAGTGGTTTCACACCACGGAGGCAAAGAAAGCAGGAAGGCTGAAGGGCACTGCCCAGGGACCCGCTGTCTGGCCAAACGGAGGCTAAAGGGGCTCACAAACCACACCCATCAGCCCGTTAATGCCTCAACTCCCACCTTCCAGCTCCTGCAACCCCAAAGTCTGGTAATTTTGCATTTTGCTGTTGACTAAACTTTCTTAAAGGTTTTTTTAAAACTCCCTTCCAGCTGCCTCGGAGCCATAGGAGCTCCGATGCTCGTAAACATCAGAAGTAACCTGCCCCAAACATCTGAATGCATCTAAGGAGCTCCTTGTCGCTTTGTAATTTCTGCAAACGTAAGCGTGGAGCCTGGCAGAAGGCTCTGTGCTAGGCAGGGAATGGACTGAAAGGCAGGCAAGTTGGCTCCGGCTTTAACAATTATTCCTTAGTGTGGGAATGTGGAGGCTCCCGGGGCGCAGCCCGGAGCGGAGGGCAGCAACTGGGGTTGTGACAACCCCAACAAACCGACATGAAAACACTGCCCGTGGTGCTTGGGGACCTGCAGGGGTCCCGCCCCTGCTGCCAAGTCGGGACCTCTCCCAGGTGCGAGGCGGGAGCTGCTGCTCTGCCGCCGAGCGCGGCGCGAGGCCGGGGCCTACCTGGCAGGCCGGGCTCGCCCCGCTCCCCCGCGCGGCCCGGCACGGGCGGGCAGCAGTCGCAGCAGTTAAAGAAGAAATCGGCCGCGTCCAGCGTGTAGTTTTCCAAGGGCGCCGACGTGGTGGCRGCGCTCGGGGTGCCCGGCCTGGCCCTGCCCGGGGCCTCCAGCACGGGCCCCTTCCCCGCCAGGGGGGCGGCAGCCTCGGCCGGCGGCGGCTTCGTCCTCGTGTCCTTCAGGCCGGGCGTCACTTTGGGCCCGGCGCGCGCGGCTGCGGCCGCCAGCAGGAGCAGCGCGGCCAGCGGCCCCGGTGCGCGCCGCATGTCGGCAGCTCTGCGGGAGCGGGACACGGCCGCACGTCACCGCAGGGCACGGCAGGGCACTGCGGGGCTGCTCGCAAGGCCCCGCGCGCTGTGCTTGCTCCCCGTGCTCTTGCACTTCTCGCTTTCGTATTTCGCTTTATTTTGCAAGCTGACAAACAAACAGAAAAGCCCCAAAGACCTTTTTGCCGTTCGCCTGGTTTCCTTTGAGCACGCAAAGCACCTGGCCGTGCAGGTGCCGGGTTGCACAGAGCCCTCCCGTCCCTGGGGACTCGCTCTGGAAGCGCCCAGCACTGTCGGCATCTCCAAGCCGAGCTCCCCACGGAGCCCCGCGAGCTCGAGCGCGGTGCCCAGCAAGCAGCCCCGCCACGAGCTCAGACACAAAGCGACCCCAAACCTTGCTCTGCCAGCGGGAATGGGAATAAAGTATTCCCAGAGCCCTCACCTAAATGCTTTAGCGCCAGTAGCATTTCCTGCACTTGCATACCCTTTTAGTGTAGATGTTCAGGTCCAATTTTTGTTTGAAAGAGTTAATTTAGCTGGAGCAGGAAGAAACAACATGGCAAGAATTGCACATTTTTTTTCCTATAGAACAGATGATGCCTCTCAGATGACTTATCAGATAAAGCATCTTTGTTCCTCTCTTAACAAGTGTGTTGACCTGTAAGTACAAGTGGAAAAGAGTCCCTTTCTTGCAGAACCTGTAATCCAAGCTTTCCATAGCAGCTAAGGAGGTTCATTATGTTAAATGTCACCGGGAGGATCACTTAGTGCTCTCGCCATCCAGAGGGCAAAGGGAGGTCTGGCCACATTTCGGGGGCTGATGAGTATCTGTGAGGACCACCCTGCATCTCCAGGATGCTTTTAGAAGTGTAACTGCTGCAAAGAGATGCGGAAATCACAATTAATCTGCTTCTCAGTACACTGACTTCTGCCTAGTCCGACCTGCGAGTGTTTTAGCCAAGCTGACTCATTTGGTTAATTCTGGCCTTACTCCAGCTCGCTTTAATTTATAATACAGATTAAAAATGCACAGCATGAAATAGCAGCTGCGCTGAAGGACACTACAGCTCTTGCCTTCAGAGAGGCCAGGATTTCACCTCCGCAGCGTCGGAAGGGACGTGTGTTTTCCCATTCCAGACCACGAGCCAACATGCAGACCTGGGAGGTCGGACAGCGATGCCACCACAGGCAAGTTTTAGGCATTCCAGGCAATTTCYAGGCATTCCTATAATCAGTTGTGCCTTCCCCTCCAACATATCCCCTGCCCCCTCCTCCTGGAGAGGAGAAGCCAACAATCTGCAGAAGGTTATGGGGCGTTAAGTGCATTAAAAGGCAACTGACAGAGAGACAAGGTTGMGTTTCTGCTTTAGAAACTTGATAAATTTATGAGAAAATGGTAAATCAATTCTCAAATCAAAACTATTTCTAAATTTTAATGCTACAGGCCACTTCCACAAGTAGCTTATCATCATGATGGCTTATCATCAAATATAGGTAAAACATAATTAATAAAATACTTATACCTTATCATTCTCTTTAGAAAATATATTGCTCCTAASAAGGAATCGCTAGACAGAGTTTCTTTACAATAGACAGGACTGTTTCTAAAATAGTTATTTTAAAAAATAAAAATATATTTCAATCCAGTGAAATGTTTTGGTTTTTCTTTATAATGGATGAGCACCAGCAACTAAAAAGTCATRTGTTTGAATATATCCACTAGAAAAGATTATGATTCACAGTGGGCACAAAATATAGACAATTAAACTTAGCTGCAGTGACATCTAGTTCAGCACAACTATATTCAATTGGATCTAAATGTTCACAAATTGGTCATATGCATCCCACAATAATATTTCAATAATTCAGTTGAATCTTGGCTTAACCCTTAAAAATACAGGTTTCAGATATTGGAGATCACAGCAGAAGTTCAACTCCAATCTCCCAACTTCGAATATCAAGGAGGTGATAGCACTTTTTATCATTTAATTATTTTAAACAATTATTTAGTGGGGGAAGAATTAGCCCTCCTGAGGCTACACAAGCATTACGGACAATTTTTGCAGACAAATCATATTGCCACCGCGTCTTAAATTCTGTGACTCCACTGCCAAAACACAGATCTAAGATAMAGAGAACAACCCAGGTCATCTCCTACCTTAGGGCCGCTCGCGCTAGCAGCACTACCTGCCCTCAGTGGCGCTTTGGGAAAAAAACAGCCTTTTCCGAGGGAATCTATTTTATTTGTGCAGTTATTGCCAGTGTGGCCAATGAGCGAACGCAGCACGCGCAGGGCAGGCGGCGGCCGCGGCTCCGGAAAGGGGCCAAGGTGGCCCTGAAACCCGAGGACGTTCAGACGCTCTCGCCGCCGCCAGCTCTGCTCTTCCCGTGGGGCTCTTGGCTCTTCCCCCAACACTCAGCATGAGGCTCCGGAGCATTTTGGCCTCCACTCGCCCTGCGACATCGAGAGACCCTGGGAAGAGTCCAGGCAGGAGCGGCCGACACGAGCAGGTCGCCGCAGCGTTGCTCTGGATCCAACTTGACCCAATAGCCCCTCTGGATCCCATAGGCTAATTGAGTTTTCTTTTGCTTTCCAAGCAATCGCAGCACCCTCTTTTCCTACCCAAGTGCCATTAAAATGGGCCATCATTCTTGCATTTCACAACCTGGTTCAGAGTCAGGATGAAATGCAGTAACGTGAGGCTGCCTTTCATTTCCTTGTCTTGGTGAAATATGAGCAAGCAAACCATCGCATTCAATCAGCCTGAATTTACTACATACCAGTACATTCAAAGCTCAGTGGCCAGACAAGAAAGCCTGCTTGTTTCAGGCAGGCTGAAGAAAACCATCAATTCTCCTCTAATGCAAGCGCTGGGAATTGTAATCCTCCGTGATTTATTTGTAACCGCAAAACTACCTTTTCCTGCACAATAGTCTACAGCTTTCAGCAATAAAAAGCTGATTAAGGAAAGTCTATTACTAAACATACCAGGCTAGAATGATTCACCAGATTTTCATGCTGTTCCAAAGAAATCAATTAGGAATTGTGTAGAAGATGCTGTGGCYCTGCGTAGGTCAGGCACTCGCACGGCTCCTACGGGGTAACCTGGATCAGCACTCGCTAATCCTCATTAACACCATGGAGAGCAGAAGACAGAGCCTGAACTCAAGAGCAGGTCTTTTCTTTAAGAAGTAATAACCATTTTTCATGAGATATCATGTCAGAATTGCAGTTAAATTCATTATACAGACACAGCRGGCGTGGATGCAGCTGCAGGTTACGCAGACCTGTCCTGGCCCCATATCCCTGCTTGTGTCCTGTATTGGCAGCCCTGCAAGGTCAYGTAGGAGAACAGGGTTGTTCCGGGAAGGAGGCAGCCGTGGCATCAGAACGGCCAGCCCCTCCAATCACTGCATTATTCTTTTACAGACAGAAACAATAAAAAGGTAACAGGAACCAATAATAGGAAGAGAAAAGAAAAAAAAAGAACCAATAAAAATGTTAGATCCAAAACCAGAAGGTTGTTTTACAGTATTACCAGTGACACTACTGTATTAAGAAGGGAAATTACTTGAGTACTTCATCTTTCTACAAGTGAAGACAAATGAAATGCGTCAAATTTCTTTAAAAGGCAAGTTGCTCCCAAAATGGCAATCTGCATGCCCAGCTAGCGCTGAGGTTGCACCCACTCACTAACCCATTCGCTATAACTGCACTRTAACGACAGTGTGTGCCTCAGTCAAATGGCTGCATTATTTTTGGAGTGTTAGACAACTCTTTAAATAGCGTAGATAAAGATTGTATTTCCTTGTTACTGTCTTTCTTAGGCAACATAAATTGCTAGAAAGACAAAAAGGTTGTAATCACTCCCAGAGTTTTATAACTATGATATAACATACAGCATATAACTGAAACAAARCATGTAGCTATGATATATTTTATAGCAAAGCAGAAAGAACTCCAAGTTCTTTCTAGGCTGCTCTTAGGAATTAGTGTATAGCATAATCTAATGGTCATATTGTTTGCTTTTTAATGTTACTTTAATTTAACCCTCACAGGTGCATTATTTTGCAAATTGTACCAACTCAGAGCTATCAGCTGCTGCATCATCCACATGAATGAAGAGCTGCAGCAACCCCAGCACAAGCTAAATATCTTCAAATGCAATCAATTCGGTTGGAGTAATATCCTTGTATTGGTTTAAAATCAGGAATTGGCAGTGGCAAAATAAGCTGCTCAATTGGGATACTGCTTTTTTGAGGAAAATTATTGCATTTTGCAATGTTGCCTCTGTAGCTACCAGAGTTTCATGCCCCCTGGTTAAATGTCATTTCTGTGATACACCAGAGTTAAAGCAAGAAATGCACTTGCTGCTCACAGGATCCTTGCTTTGGCTGGTGCTTTGCACGCAGGGGGACACAATGTGCTCTGTAAAGATATTTTGTATGAAATTAGTGGGGTGTTTTTCACATGAGATCCATAAAGGAGACACAAACAGGACCTTCCAAAGGGTTTCACTTCCACTTGTTTGTGAATTAAAACAGAAAAATGTATGCTGGAATATATGCAAGGTAGACAGATAAACTAAAAAGCTGCTATGGAAATAGGAGAAAAAAAAAAAAAAAAAAAAAGCAGGAAACAGTGAAAAGTTGAGCAGCACAAACTAATTTGGGTTTGTAACAACCTGTGGCATAAAATTTTACTGCCCAAATATCAAGAAGGTAAGCTGGAAAAGAGAATATTCACATATTCTCACAGTGGGAAAAATGCAATTAAGTTGGTTTTGGGCTGGGTTAAAAGTGTTAAAAGGAAATTAACACTTCTGGGTAACGTGCGGAGCAAAATAAACCCAAAGCATGTACGTATTGCCGACCAGCAGCTTTATTTGTCCMAATTTAAACACATCCAAATGATATTTTATAAGTGGTTATGCTTAAATGGACCTCCAGCTAAGGCACAATGTTTATTTCCCTCAGGCTAAGCACCAGCCGGTCAGCAG